AGGCCCAAATGAGAGGTGGTGGGCTACTTTGGACTGAGTGTTCAGGGAAGGGTGCTGAGAAGAGAACATTCAAGCTGAGAGCCACATGACTAAGGGGGAAAAGTCATTGCAGGCAGAGGAATTAGTTTGTGCAAAGGCCCTGTGGCAGAGAGAGCTTATACAAAAGCAGAAAGACAGCTACTATGGCTTCAATGAAGAGGGCAAGGGGGTGGGGTGGAGGGTGCGGGGTGAGGCTAGGGGGCACCCAAACTAGAAAAGGGGGTTGAATTTCATTCTAAGTGCATGGGAAGACTTTGGAGCATTTTTAGAATGACTTGATTGGATTCAGAGATGTGCAAACAGCCCAGAGAAACGCACAGCATCCTAAGCTGCCAGGACCAAGGACTAGGGGCAGACGAGTAAGGAGGTCAGGATGCAAAATGCAAGGAGCCCCTCAATCTCAGATCTGTCTACGTGCTGACTCTTACTGGTCCAGTCCCCTCTCCGCAACCCTGCAGAGAAGCCGGCTGATGACTAAGTCACATGACCAGCCTCACCCTCTCAGCAAATCCGCCCTCCCTTCCTGACCTGCTCTGGAGTAGGAGAAGGGATTGGGAGGGCGTGGGAGAGCTTCACTCTGCACGCAGCCCATTGGGAACCAGCTGAAGGTTTCATTTGCTCTGGGTTAGCCCCCTGCCTCCACCTCCGCCAGCCTGTTGTAACGAGGGGCTGACTCCAGGCCAGGCTCCCGTCTTGGGCACAGGCTTCCTGGAGCTGGGGGTCGACAGTTCTGCCTTGTCAGCTGAGCCATGGCCAGCAAAGCTCTCAGGAGTTTGAGCTTCCAGTCCTCCAGACCAGCGGACTCTCACCCTCAGCTGGGTACCCCACCCCAGATCATTGCATCTCTCCTTTTACCTCACACCCGAGGGGGATCCCAAGCCTGTCTCTTTGGAGTTGGGAGCTCAGGGACCGCTTTCCACCCCCTCTGAGCAACTTTGTGGTCCCCCAAGGCTCCTTATGACTTCAGCCTTAACCGGGCACACTTGGCTTACCTCTTTGATCTACCCCTGCCTGGACAAAAGCCAGATGTCCTGGAGCCTGGACTTGAGGGAGGATCCCCATCTGCTGGCGAGAGGCAGCATCACAGCCTCAGGTGAGCTGCTGGGTCCTTCCTCTGCCCGGCTCCCACCTGTGGTACCCAGGAAGACTCAGTCCCAGCCACAGCTGATGTGTTTGGTGAGCTGTGTGTGTGGCTTCCTCAGGTTCCCTTGGTGGACACACGTACAGCCCTGGTCACTCAGCAGGTCACTAAATCCTGGACCTCTCAGAAGTGCCAGATTCTCCATTGCAATCCCCACTGGGATCCCTCTAACCTGTCCCAGCGAAGTCGAGGTTGCCCACATTCTGCATGTTGCTGCACAGAGGCCTATGGGGGCTCCCTGTTTCCTGACCCATCCCAGTACCTCTGTCCTGTTTCTCCACTGAAGACAGGTGATCAGGTTCAGCAGGCTCTGTGAGGCACCTGGAAGGTGGGCGGTGCTGGAGGCTGTCACCACTCTACTAGGAGGGCTCAGTGCAATGTTCTAAAGAGTCACCAGAGGCCGGGCAAGGTGGCTCAAGCCTGTAATCCCAGCACTTTGGGAGGCTGAGGTGGACGGATCACAAGGTCAGGAGTTCAAGACCAGCCTGACCAACATGGAGACACCCCATCTCTACTAAAAACACAAAATTTGCCGGACATGGTGGTGCATGCCTGTAATCCCAGCTACTTGGGAGGCTGAGGCAGGAGAATCGCTTGAATCTGGGAGGCGGAGGTTGCAGTGAACTGAGATTGTGCCACTGCACTCCAGCCAGGGCAACAAGAGTGAAACTCCATTTGAAAAAAAAAGAAAAAGAGTCACCAGAAATGCTTTGTTGAACGAAAACTCAGAGGCTCTGGCAACTTCGATTTGTTGTTCTGGTGGAGGCTGGATGCTATTTTCAATCATTGCTATGCCCATAATCCTCAAACTTAGCAGGTGTTAAACTTGGCGGGACATGCTGAGCTTGTTAACAATACAACCCATTCTGATTCAGCACCTGCTGGGGTGGAAGCCAAGTATCTCTGTTAACAACAGGACCAGGTGATCCCAGAAACAGGTAAGTTTACTTACCCTAAAGAGACCCAGTAGTAGGCAATTTTTATCCTCACTGAAATGTAGGAAGGTGGAGCGATTACCATCCCCTTGTACAAACAAGGAACCAAGCTGAGACCAGTGACCAGCCCAAGGTCACAGCCAGTATGGAGCAGAGCTGAGATTAACCTGGGCCTGGTGTTCCAACACCTGTCTTTTAAACCAGTGTGTCTTGTATGGGTACAAATCTGGGGTGAAGCAAAAGCCCAGGAGCGGATTGCTGTACCCTGGGAGTTAGGGACTGACTTCTGTTGCAATGTTTCCACTTGCAAGGTAGCTTGAGATCATAAGGAATTGCTAAAGCAGTGGTAAAGGGAGCAGCGGGGGACAAGGATGGGTGAGTAGGACATCTTGGCCTTGGGGCCCTGATAGGCCTGTGTCCAATGCCAGGCCCACATCTACCAGTTATGTGACCCTGGTCCAATCGTCTAACATCTCTGAGCCTCACATTTTTCATCTGCGAAGTGGCTATTGAGATACTCACACTGCTGTGTTGTGAGATGACAGGGATGTTGAGGGACTGCCTGGCGCTGTCTGTATAAGAATAGCAGCCGTGGGCTTGGAAGCGAGGGCTGCCTTGGGCCCAGGTTGATGCGGAGCAGGTGTGATCTGGAAGAGTCACCCAGTTCACCGAGCTACATCGTGCAGAACAGACATTAGACCCGCCCTGCCCACCTCGAAGCCTGTTGGAAGAAGGGGTTGGAATTATGCATGACATTATCTGATGAAGCTGAAAGGTAGCCCATTGATGGACCTCATCAGTTTCATTTTAATTCCAGCCTACTAAGAAAACTTCTCTTCCCTTCATGAATCTTTCTAAAGCCTAATGTGGAGGTTAGGTGTGGCGACCTCATCGGGAGCTGCAGGAGTCCTCCTCCAGGAAGCCTTCCCGGATGCCCAGGCTGGATTTGAGGTCCCACCACTATGCTCCAATGCACCCAGGATTGGCCTCCACACTTTTCATTTTCTGAAATTGTTTATTTTCTCCTCCATCTACTCTCCCCCTGCCATCTCTACCCCTGTGAGTCCCTGCATAGCAAGGCCTGTGTGAAATCATCTCTGTCTGTCCAGACTAGGGGACTGGCCAATGCTGATGAGTTGAATATGTGGATTTCACCTCACTAGGAGTCTCCTTTGTTTCCTTTCTAGATAAATGTCCTCCAAAGAGTGGATGGTTAATTTTAGGTGTCAGCTTGAGTTGACCCCAGGGTACCCAATGAGCGTCCAGATCAAATGTTCTTTCTGGGTGTATCTGTGAGGGTGTTTCCAGATGAGATTCACATTTGAGTCTGAGGACTCAGTAGATCACCCTCCCCAGTATGGGTGGCATACTCCAATCCATTAAAGACCTGGATAGAGCAAAAGGTAGAAGCAGCAATTCACCCCTTTCCCCTGCCCCGCTGTTGAACTGGGACCTCTCACCTCACCTTCTCCTGCCCTCAGACTGACTTGATTTATATCAACTCCCCTGGTTCTCAGACCTTTGGACTTGGACTCAATTAGACCACTGGCTTTCCTGGGTCCCCAGCTTGCAGGAAGCAGATTTGGGACTTCTCAGCCTTCACAATCATGTGAGCCAATTCATCATAGTAAATCATATATATACCTAATCTCCTTCTGGTTCTGTTTCTCTGGAGAACTCGAACACATCACCTCTGCTCCTTTTCAGAGGAAGTGTTTCAGTGAAAAGATAGAACTTTGGGTTCTTCCTCCTACTTTTCTGCAATATTTGGATGTGAACAAAGACCATTTTGGGGTCTCCTTCCACCCAAACCCAAGAATACACTTCCCTCGCACTCCCCGTAAGAATCCCCCTGTACCCATCCCATCCTCTTGGGACTCTGATATCTAGCTCTGCCAGGGTTTGCGATCAGAGAGATGGTTATTCCTTCATAGAATCCATTTACATTCATACCCAGTAGGGTGGCTAAAATTAAAAAAGACAGTGCCAAGTGCTGCCAAGGATGTGGGGAAACAGGAATCCTTACGTGTGGCTGGTGGGAATATGAAATAGTGCAGCCGCTTTGGAAAACAGTTTGGCAGTTCCTCAAAACGTGGAATATAGGGTTGCCATATGACCCAGTCCCCTCCTAGCCATATATCCAAGAAGATCTATGTCCATACAAAAACTGTCACGCGAATATTCATAGCAGCAACATTTTTAATAGCCAAGAAGCAGAACCAACCCCAAAATAAATCACCTGAAGAATGAGTGAGTGAAATGTGTTCTATTCCTACAATGGAACATTTAGCCATAAAAAGGAATGAAATCCTAATGCATGCTGCAACCTAGGCGAGCCTCGAAAACATTAGGCTGAGTAAAAGAAGCCAGTCACAAAAGATCACATGTTTTCTAGTTCCACTTCTATGAAATGTCCAGAATAGACAAACCTACAGGAACAGAAAGTAGAACTGTGGTAGGGGCTTTGGGGGAAATGGGGGGGTAACTCCTAACAAGCATGGGGTTTCTTTTTAGGGGTGATGAAAATGTTCTACAATTGATTGTGGAGATGGCTACATAACACTGAAAGTACTAAAAGCCACTAATGTGTACGCTTAAGTGGGTAAGTGGTACGATCTGTGGATTAGCCCTCAATAAAGTTGTTTGAGAATATATTTGCAATCACAAGACGTCTTTCAGGTCTTAGTGATGTGGTTTAACTCACTGGCTGGCAGGTGGCAGAGTAGAGTTGCTTACCACGTGGGACATTTCCAAGAGTGACGTTCCATGAGCCCTTGGTTCCTCCCGTTGCTGGGAGGGAGCATTCAGAGACCCCCCCCCCCCCTCCCACCGGAACCACCAACACAGAAGACAAAGCACAGAAATGAAAATGATCACGCCCACCCTTGTTCCTCACAATCGCTCTTCACACTTTTATTGTTAATTCTCTTCACATGGCAGATACAGAGCTGTCGTCTTGAAGACCAACACTGACCAGGCTATGCCGCTTTTACAAAATCATCCCCCCTTCTCGTTGCTGGAACAGTTTTCCTGACCGTCTGGGAGTGTCGAAGGGTGACCAGCACATTTGCACATGCAAACAAGGAGTGACCCCAAGGCCTCAACCAAATTTCCCAGAGTTCACCGTGGGCTGCAGGTGACTTCCCAGGTTTTGGGTTTGTGAGCTTTCCTCGCTGCTGCAAGGGGAGGCCCTCAAGAACCGAGAGGCCGGGATGTGGTTCATGAGTGTTAACATTTACGGGACAGAAGCGCATCATCAGGATAAGGAACAGCCTCAGCACGTCATGCTCATGAGGGTTAACTGTAGGAGCGGGTGAAAGGATTCCAGTTTATGAAAATTTAAAGCAAACAACGGTTTTTAGCTGGGTGGAAAACAGGAAAACTCGATGTCGGCCAATGACCAGCATTTTTCTGCCCATGTGAGGGTCGCATGAGACCCTTCTCCTAGACCCTTAGCAGACCCCATACTGCAGCTGACTGACTGACTCATTAAATAACACAAGTTATAAAACTTTAAAAATGGGGCATTTACAGTCAGGGACATAAATACGTGCTTTTAAAAGTGTCTACACACATATTTACAGAGTTGCAAGATCAACCATAGTAGCCCTGAAAAAAAAAAAAAATCCCTTTATTGTGTGACAGATCGTGCTCATCAGAGCTCCTTCCTCTCGCTCTGGGTTTGATAGCTCGCTATTGAAATCGGAGCTGAGAAAACAGCACCCAAGTGGCTCAGACATCCTCGTCTGGGGTCTGCCCCAAAGGCACAAAACCCAAGAACTTCACTGAACTGGGTCCAAACGCCAAGCTCAGCTCACCCGTTTCTCCGAGACATGGACTGTGTTCCAGAGAGCAGGAGTCAGCCCTGTCCACCCCTGGCAGGATGGCCTCCAAAATCTCTTCTTCCCCCTGTGCTTTTAAATGTTTCCTTTTTTTTTTTCATTTCTCAATTTGTTTGTTTCCTATTGCGGCTAATTTGAGAAGCTCAGACACTAAAGGTGTTCATGGTCCCACCAAGTGTGGTAATGAAGGGCACAGGAGATCCCTCCCTTCCACACACTGGCCCCATTCCCTGCCCTTCCCAATGGCGGAAATAGATCTGCAAGTGAGGACAAAGTCTTTCTCCCAGGTGCACCTGATTTGAGGTTCTCTGCAAAGGACTCGAGAGCAATGGACCGATGAGAATTTCAAGTCTGGAAATGACTCAAGAGCCAGAAACGCAGATACCTTAGGCAAGGAAGGGGGGTTTCCATGTACTGGGGCCAAGGGGAGTCTTCGGGCTTGGCTCCAACGTGTCAATATGCTATGGATTCCCAGAGATGTTGCAGGAGAGGGAAGGTGGGGAGAGGGAGTGGTACTGAAGGGGAACTTGGCCTCCTCCTGAAGGCTTTCCTAAAGCTGACCCCTGGGTCAGACCAAAGTCCCCATAATGGCAAAAGCCAACTCAGGAAGCGAAATGCAGGGTCAAGGAGCTCTTGAAAAATTGCATAGTAGGAGAGGCCCCACCCCAACAGGAAGACAGAGCTCCCGAGAGCTGCATCCAGACATCATGCCGAAGGACAGCCTGGAGTTGGCCGCCTTCCTGCCGCCCTGGGGTTCAGGACCCATGTTTGAAGAGCACTCGCACACCCGCACGAGAACACACACACACACACACATGCACGCACAAAGGCGCGCCCACACATGCACTCCCTTTCTCGCGCAGGCTCACACAACTGGGATAGGTCGGTACTCCCTGCAGGGCAGTCTGCCAGTCCCTTTGGCTTCACTGATTCCAGGTCACTTCAGGTGCTGAGGAGAAAAAGGAAATGAACATAATGACGGTGAGCACGTATTCAGTCCCGATTGCAGGTGGTCCATGTGTTATCCCACTTAATTTTGTAATTAAACTGTGTACTGAAACATCAAGCTGAAAAGCATAGCTTGATGAATTTTCACAGTGAATACACCTGCAAAGCTGGCACCCAGATGAAAAACCAGAACGTGACAGTCACCCATCAACCCCAAACCCATGACCCCTTTAAGGATACATGAACCCTCCTGCCCTCCAGAAGAACCACTGTCCTCACCTCTAACACGGTAGACTGATTTCACCCATTTTTTAAGTTAAATAAATAGGATCAATCAGTACATCTCCTCCTGTGTCTGGCTTTTTCCACTCAGTGTTTGTGAGAGCCACCCATTCTGCACGTGTGGTTGATGCTTGCAACCTTGTTATTGTGTAGTGTGTTACTATAGAAATACACCACATCTAGGCTGGACACGGTGGCTCATGCCTGTAATCCCAGCACTTTGGGAGACCAAGGCGGGCGGATCACCTGAGGTCAGGAATTCAAGACCAGCCGGCCAACACGGTGAAACCCCATCTCTACTAAAAATACAAAAATTAGCTGGGTATCATGGCATAAGCCTGTAATCCCAGCTACTTGGGAGGCTGAGGCAGGAGAATCGCTTGAACCCAGGAGGCGGAGGTTGTAGTGAGCTGCAATCCCACCATTGCACTCCAGCCTAGGCAATTAAGAACAAAACACCGTCTCAAAGAAAAAAAAATGCACCACATCTATCCAGCTATTCCTCTGCTGATCCACAACTGGGAACTTCCAGTTTGGTGCCATGTGAGTCATGCTGCTAGAACATTCTTATATGTGTCTAGAAGACACATGTGGTGCACATATCTATGCATTGCTGCTGAGCGGAAGTGCTGGGTTGTAGGATGCACACAGATGACGTATCAGCATTCTCACAGGTGTTTTCTGGTGCGTGTGGGTGCGTATCTGCTGAGTGTGTCCCCTGCAGTGGGACTGCTGGGTCCTGAGGTACCCAGAGGTTCAGCATCAGTCACCACTGCCAGTTTTCCAAAGTGATTGTACTCTCCCTGAATTTCCTTTGGATGTTCACAGCCCTCAAGGCAGGCAACACGGATCCCCATTTTATAGGAAAGAAATGGAAGACTGAGAGAAGAGAAATAACTTTTACAAGTGTGCTGATGATGAGCAGCAGAGGTGAGACTCGAACCCAGGCTAGGCTCACTCCAGCACCTGTCTGCTCTTCCAGTCGGGAGGGGATAGCTGTGCCCTCATGCTTCCTCCGCAGAAACCACATTCACAGAGCTTAGAACAGAGCTGAGCACATGAGTGACTCCTGAATAATGTTCATTGCAGGCAGGGCGCAGTGGCTCACGGTGGTAATCCCAGCGCTTTTGAGAGGCTGAGGTGGGCAGATCACCTGAAGTCAGGAGTTTGAGACCAGCCTGGCCAACATGTTGAAACTCCACCTCTACTAAAAATACAAAAATTAGCTGGGCATGGTGGCGCGTGCCTGTAATCCCAGCTATTCAGGAGGCTGACACAGGAGAATTGCTTGAAGCCAGGAGGCGGAGGTTGCAGTGAGACGAGATCGCACCACCGCGCTCCAGCCTGGGTGACAGAGTGAGACCCTGTGTCAAAATCAATCGATCGATCAATAATGTTCACTGCACTGGGTTGAATTGAGCTGGGCCAAGTTCAGGACACAGTTCTGTGGCCCAGTGGACCTGGTCACCATTACGATTACTAAAAATAACTACCATTATTATTACTACTGCTAATAATGTAATATTTCTATCGTAATAATACCAGTTGTTTATCGAAGGCTTACTGCATGCCAGGCACTCTGCTAAGGGCTTTTCATTCACTAACATATGCAACCCTCTCAATAAACCCATGAGAGCGGTACTGTCATTATTAACCCATTTCACAGATGTGAATTCAAACACAGAGGAGTGAAGTAGCCACCGAAGGTATAGCTCCAGAAACTGTGCACTTAACCACTACCCTATGTTAATTTCAATTCCCTGAAATGTCGCAACGGGGCTGGAAAGGGCTGCTTGCGGGGGAGTGGGATGTCTTCAAGAGAGGCAGTGTTCCTTCCCAAAGGATGGCTGCTTATGCAGCAGACCAGCGTGCCTGCCTGTGCCCATGAGCCAGAGCATGGGGAGGAAAGGAAGCAGAGGCAGAGCCAGCTATGGAGTGGCTGCGTTCCCTTGGCCTGGCGCGGCCAGCAAGTGTGAGTTTCCCCTGGGTCACGTGGGATCCATAAAAGGAGCCATCTTGCCAGACCCCAACCACAGGCAGCCCTCTAGGGAAGCCACAGCAGCCTGGGCTGGGGGCTGGACCTGAGAAGGAGGGAAGCTCTCATACAAGGGAGATGAGCCAGGATGGGGGACCTCTACACACCTCACTCCCAGGACCCCAGGAGGGAGCCCATGTCAGAAAGCCTGCCACAAAGGGCCCTCAGGTTGCTGGTCTTAGCCAAAGGAGCAGCAACAGCTGAGAGAAGGATCACAACCGTGGCCAGACAGGTCAGAGGCTGTCCCTTCCCTGGGCTTCCCGCTGAACCCCTGGGGTGGGGTGAAGACAGGATGTGCAAAGGAAGCCTCCCTATAGCCTAAGCAGTGTGGTACTTTTCTGCACTTAAAAGTGAACAGAAACCTCTGGGCTTTGAGCCACAGTAAAGGGGATGCCGCAAAGGCTGACAAAAGGCAGGGCCTGCCAGAAACCAGGCTCCTCTGTGTTCATTCTCGCTGCATTCAGACCATCCGGGAGATGGGTGATGGAGCCTTGAATCTGGCATGGGCAACAGCGGGCAAAGCAGCCGAGGCCATGGGTCCTTCGAGAAGGCCATCCTTTTCTCTGTACAAAACCCGCATGCACACACAGTTTTGCATGAAGGAGGCATGACCCACTTAAAATCCAGCAATGGTCCCAGAAATCAGAAGACCAGAGTGCCGATGCCAGGTCTGCCACGTGCCCCTCCACGTCGGTTTCCTTCCCTGTAAAACGAGGGCTTTGACCTGCACACACCCTCCTGAACTAAAATACTTTGCTGTGACATTTTCATAAGTCTGGAACTGTGTTCAATAGTGCTATGGACTGAACTGTGTACCCCTAAAACCCTTATGCTGAAGACCTAACCCCTCCATGTGATGGTATTTAGAGGTGGGGCCTCTGAGAGGTGATTAGGTTTAGACGAGATCACAAAGAAAGGCTCACGGTGAGATAAGTGGACTTCTAAGAAGAGACCCCAGAAAGCTTGCTCTCCCCCAGGCTCCCACCCTGTAAGGACACAGCAGGAAGGTGGCTGTCTGCAAACCAGGAAGAGAGCCCTCCCCAGAACCTAGCTATGGTGGCTCCCTGATCTGGTACTTCCAGCCCCGAGAACCATCAGGAAATAAATCTGTGTTCAATACTTAAGCCACATAATCGATGGTATTTTTTGATGGCTGCCTGAGCTAACTAAGGTAAAAGTATAAAGAAGATTTTTTTTTTAATTCTTTTAAAATAATATAAGTAGCACATGCCTGGTATAAGTACCAATTTTAAAAATGGAAAGAAAAAGCTACATAGGATTTTATGGAGCAAGTTTTAGTCACTTAGACAGTAAACTGTGAGTTTGGAACCTTCGTTGTTGGTGAGCAAACAGAGATTATAAGATGCAGAGGCAAATAACATTAGGCCTTTCTTCATTTGATTGCTCAGCTTGGGAAACTGTGACTAAGTCACATGCTTGAAGTTCACAGCCAGGAAGTGGCAGAGCTGGGATGTGAAACAGGCAGTCCAGAGTCTGCCCTCAGCCAAGTGCCCTCCCGGAGGGAGGCCCTGCCCGGTGCCCAGTACACACAAGCAATCACGCCCACCCCCTTTCTCTCCTTCCCACCCCACCCAAGACCCAAGCCCACGCCCCCTTGACCCCCAGGCCCACCCAAACAGTGCCGGAAGCTGCTCCATCCTGCCTCGTACCTGTCAGGGAGCAGGCAGGGTGTCTACTCTTTGAAGAATGGTCCCTGGAACTGGGCTGCAGCCGGGGCCTTGACCTTCCTACACTGCCTGGTGATGTACGGGGCGGCTGGTGGAGGGCATCGGGACGCCAAGCGGAGGCTGTAGCTGTGCAGGAAGAGGAACAACACACATTGTCACCAGGAGCCCAGCCCGGTGCCCCAGACATTGCTTGAGGGGCTTCCTTAGTGCTGGTCACCACTTCCTAGGCCCGGGCGGGACTGCACTTCCTGGACATTTTGAGGCCAGGTGCCTGGCGTCAACTAACAGGACATGAGCTTTAACCACCAATGTGCACTTCTCCATGTTCAATCCACCACACTGTCACCCCTCGGAGGCGATCGCAGGAGCACAGGTGAGAGCAGTGTCCATTGGCACGGTTCTGAGACACCGTGATGGGCAGCACCGTCTGGTGACCCCCAGTGGACATGCAGGTGAGCCAGAATGACTCCGGTTGCATCAGAACAACGGCTTTGCCCTTCTCTGATTCCACTCCCCACCTGCCTCCCTGTTCTCCCTTCCTGCCAGGCCCCAGCACCCATAAGGCAGAAAGCATCTGGGGAGGTTGCTGTTGCCAAAGCAGAAACGCACCTGCTGGGTTGTGGGGGATGGAGGCAGGTCTCCTCCCTGCCCTAGCCCCGCACGCCGCATCCAAGCTGGGTATCTCAGAGGGCTGATGTGACTTCCCACAGAGATGTGAACCCAGGATTTTTCTTTTTTTGGCATGATTTTGCCCTATTTGTACTATATAGCCCAGTAAATGGGATTTGAGTTTTTCAGAAGGGCCTTTTAAAATTTCTTTGAAAGACAGATAACTCACACCATTATTCCTCTCCTTTCCTCACTCAGCTAACTTGTACTTCTCTTTCATATCGCAGCTGGGATGCTACCTCCTCCAGGAAGCCTTCCTTCTTTAACTCCTGGGTGAGGTGTTCCTCCATCAAGCCCCTGATGTGTCCCCATCCCAGGACTTGTTACACTGAATTAAAAGCCCAGAATAAGGTATCTGCCTTTCTCATGAGCTCTGAGATCCCAAGGTCAGGGTCTTTGTTCATTGTTGCATCCCCAGCTTGGCACAATAAAAATATACATCTGGCAGGGCACAGCGGCTCCCCAGCACTCTGGGAAGCTGAGGCGGGTGGATCACATGAGGTCAGGAGTTCGAGACCAGCCTGGTCAACATGGTGAAACCCGTCTCTACTAAAAATACAAAAAATTAGCCGGGCGTGGTGGTGGGCTCCTGTAATCCCAGTTACTTGGGAGGCTGAGGCAGGAGAATCGCTTGAACCCAGGAGGGAGAGGCTGCAGTGAGCTGAGATTGTTCCATTGTACTCCATGCTGGGTGACAGAGCAAGACTCCATCTCAAATAAATAAACAAGTAAACATCCACTGAGTAAGGGTGATGCATGTCACACAGGCTTACTGCATGTCCAGAACTCTGCTAGGCATTTTACATACACAAACAATCTAATTCCTCACACGGCCTATCCAGGTGGATACCGTTATTATCCCTAATTTACAGATGAGGAAACTGAGGCACAGAGATCCTGTCACCTGTCTGCCTCTCTAGATAGAACAATGGAAAGTGAGGTGGGGGGGCCTCCGGACAAGGCGGCCCAGGTCAGGGACAGGACCCGTGACAAAGATTTCACCAGCCCCAAATGCTGACAGTGCCAAAGCTGACAAGGGAACTCAACCAATATTAAAATAAGCAAACGCATCAACAGACAAACAAATACAGAAGGTGTCGGAGAGAAGCCTTAGACAACACGAAGATCTGCTGTTGTCACAAGGGAGCCTCTCCGAGGGCCTGGCTCTCCGTCAAGGTCAGGGCTGCCTGTTTGACTCCTCCCCCGCACTGTGCAGCCAGGGCCTACGGTCAGCTCGGTCTACTCGCCTGTGCAAGAGTTAAGGAGGAAACGGAGGGCCCATGCTTCGTGCAAGCTGCACTCCAGATGGGCCACCAAGGCCCAGGAGGGAGCCTCAGGGGGGCTGTCTCTGCAGCTAGTGGCCAACCCCATGCTAGCTGGCTGGTGTCCCAGGAGACCCAACCTGGGAGGAGACAGCCAGCTGGAAGGCTGCTGGAGACATGAACTCCTGTGTCCTGCTGAGGAATAAGAGAGCTGACAAAGAGCAGGTGCCTTCCCCACGACATCACCCTCCCTAGGAAATGTCTATCTACAGAGGTAAAGCAAGACCAGCAGAAGCTTTGGAGACAGACAAGCCCTGCATCATCAGTATTCGGCTTCTCCCTCTCTCTGCTATTAAATATCCAAAAGCCAGATCAATCGCACAAAAATAACAGCACGATGTCGCAGCCCTCTCGAGCGAGCCTGTCTGCTTCTGCTCGCTTTGGCATCTATTCTGCCTGGGCTCCTGTGGATGCAGCAACCATAGCGTCTCCACCAGGGGGCGCACGTCCTCCCCGGCTCAGGGCGTCCACCTGGATGGAGCGAGGAGGTCTGGGGCAAAACCCCCAAAGGCAGAGGCCCCCTCTGCCACCGCTCATCCACTGCCTGGCCTAATGCAGGACCACGGCAGCCGACATTAACATGCCCCCCATGACTCCCAAGGACTTTCTCAGCTTTCTCTCTGAACCCTCCCAGCAGCCCAGGAGGGAGGTGGAACAAATGCTTTTATACCCCTTTCACGGATGAGAAAACTGAGGCTCAGAAGGATATGGAGACTTTCCTAAGGGAGCAGAGGCCAGGCCTTTCAGCTCCTTGGGCCACAACTTTGAAGAAACACCAGGTCACCACTTGGGTGTTTCCTGTTAGTTGCTTACTCCTTCACCACCAGAAGAGGATGGCTTTGAGGGCAGGGACTGAGTCTTGCTCACAGCAGAATCCCGTATCCCCAGGAACAGGACCTGGTACAGGAAATGTTGGGTGGGTGGGTGGAGGCAGCCAGGAGATGTTCTGGTTTGCAGGTGGAGGAAACATGGTCACAGGACCACACCCCCTCCCCAGGCCACGCCCCCACCCAGAGACAGCAGAGCCCAGAGTCTCAGGCACAAGGACAGCTCGTGCACTCCCAGCACTGCCTCCAGTCACAAGGAGATGCCCCATCAGCCAGCGGGGGCGAGCACAGGATGCTCCCTGTGGGTCATGGTGATGGCACGGTCAGTGGCTGTGCAAGTTAAGTGTGAACAAGCCAGTGCCTCACTTATCCAGACGCCCCTTCACCTTCACAATCCAGAGAACAGCCTAAAACATTGTGGAAAGTCTGAGTCATCCACAACCAGTGCCCATTTATCTGTAAACCCTTTTTTTTTCTTTCTTTTGAGATGGAGCCTCACTCTGTTGCTTAGGCTGGAGGGCAGTGGCGCGATCTCGGCTCACTGCGATTTCCACCTCCCAGGTTCAAGCGATTCTCCTGCCGCAGCCTCCCGAGTAGCTGGGACTATAGGCACCCGCCACCACACCCGGCTAATTTTTATTATTTTTAGTAGAGATGGGGTTTTACCATGTTGGCCAGGCTGCCCTCGAACTCCTGACCTCAGGTGATCCACCCATCTCAGCCTCCCAAAGTGCTGGGTTTACAGGCATGAGCCACCACACCCAGCCCCAGATCTGTAAACTCAGTGAAGCTCACTGCATGCGGGCACTAAGATTCGTGCCTGGGCCTGCAGCCCGTCCCTAAGGAGCACAAAGTCACAGGAAACTCAAGCTCTCATGTTCAGTGCACGCTGCTCTCACTGTACACACAATTCAAGCGAATACAGCCAATGGCTTACAAGTCCACAGCCAAATCAGAGGCAGCAAAATGAATAGAAGAGGAAGAAAAGAGCCCTTAGATTGAAGCAAATACAGCCTGTAGCAGACATCAGACACTTCTCTGGAAGCGGGAAAGGAGGGTAAGTTCAAGGACAGGAAATAGTATGCGCCCAGCCACGTATGTGCCGTGATGTTCCAGATTCCATGCGCGCTTAGTTTTGTCCTTGGTGAACCTGAAAGCCTGACAAACTTGAGAGAGGACTATTAGTTATAGATGGAACGCTCGTGTCCCCTGTGCCCCATTCATATGCTGAAGCCCTAACCCCCGTATGTAGAGGTGGGACCTATGGGAGGTGACTGGGTTTAATGGGGTCATGATGATGGGACATTCATGACAAGATTAATGCGTGCACCTTGTAAGAAGATACATGTGCCCTGGAAAGGTCATGTGAGAACACAGACAGAAGGTGGCAGTCTGAACCAGGAAGAGAGCCCCGGCCAGAACCGAGCCATGCTGGCACCCTCAACTTGAACTTCCAGCCTCCAGAACTGTGAAAAAATACAACTTCTGTCATTTAAGCCACCCGGTCCCTGGCATTTTGCTATGGTAGCCCAAATTTTGTTAAGACAGCTAACTTGCCCAAAGTCACGCTTGGTGAGATCAGGATCTGAACACAGGGTCTGGACCAGCCATCTCTGCACATGACTCCCTCCCAAGGCGACACATCCGTGGCTTCAGTGTCCATGGCCAGCCTCACCCTGATGACTCACCGGCACCCACGCCCAGCCCACATCTGGCCTTTGAACTCCATTCATGTGCCGACATGACATCTCTTGGACATCTAGGAGGCCCCTTAAATCGGGTCCTGAATTTAAGTTATGACCCCGTCTCATGCCTGCCACCCACCATATCCTGCTCTTGGTGAACAGCACTGCATTTGTGCCCTGAAAGCCAGAGACCTGGGAGTCAACAGGGTCCCTCCCTCGTCCCCTCCTGCTAGACATCAGCTGCCACTGGCTCCATCCAGCCTGCGTTCCTTCCTCTTCTACCACTACCAGGGAGCACCTCTCGCCTGGGGTCCTTCGAGGCGCCTTCCTCACTGGACTTCTACTTCTCACTTCTGCGCTGGCTCCCCTCCCATCTTTTCCACAGAAGTGGGACCTTCTTCCCACAAGGCCAAATGGACCATGACATGCCCCTGCTGCAACCTATCAAAACCCCACGGCTCCCAGGCCGCAGCCCAAGTTCCTTGATGCAGCAAGTCCAGCCCATCTCCCCTTCAGTCCTTGTTACTGCAGCTAATCTGGGTAGAACTCATTTCCCCGTGGCCTCCAGCCCCGGCTACTCACTAAATTCAGCCAGAGAGGCCTGGGCTGCACAGCAGGCCATG